ACCTCCGTAGAATCTTTATTATTCTCAATTCGTTCTCTTTTCTGTTTGACAACCTGGATCCAAGCTCACTCTTTCCTGATAGCTATCGTTTTAAAACGTGTTGAAAAAGGTGTGAACTTTAACGCACAATTTCTCTAAATTAATCAATATCCTTCCAGCTTACTGTCTAGTAGACTGGCTATCTTGTTTCGTTTTCTCTTTCTCTCTCGTTCAGATTGTGAGCTCTACAAACTGAGCTCCGATATGCATAACATATACCAGGATCTTTCGACCTCTGTTTCTCGCAGTTTCATCTCAGATAGATCTCGTCGATCTACTTCCTGAAGTGCATGGTTGCCCTGTAGGGCTTTCCCACTTTACTAAACCTATGGACCTTCATCCGTCCATTCATTTGTTCCATCCCGTCGCTCCTGCATTCATCTCTTCGACTAACTTCCTAACCTTTGTAGTTGCATCATCTAGACGACCATTGTCCTCGTTCCTCGTACTCCTGGTCATCTGATGATGATCGGATAACCATCTGATTTGAGTCACACATCCCCAATCACGAACCGTGATTGTGGATCCCGAGTCGTCTGTCCGTCATACGAAAATACCTTTCTAACAAGTACGATTCGTATCAATCCTCGAGCCCAATACTAGCTATAGTGATGTATGCTGGTCATTATTCCAGCCTGAAGAGCAGCACAACACGATACTGAATTGACAGGATCCAATACAAGAATACAACCATGAAGAGCGGAAAGAAAGCAGCCACTCCTTTCTGGCAGATCTTGTTGGTGGCCCTGATTGTCAGTGAAGGAACAACCATGGCCCAACAAGCCCCTGCCATCAGCATTCCTCAATTCACAGAGGATACCAGCTTGAGAGCTCGACAAAATGTGTGTGACCGCTACCAGCGGTATGATGAAGGAGAAGTCGAGTTACGACAAGCCTTGGATGGGCTACAGTTGCATCCCGTGGCGACCGCTGGAGGGAGTTCTTTCAAGTTGGATGATGCCGGAAAAATCGACAATGTCAATCCCGGCTACTATGTTGTTATTCTGGATGAATTGGCCAAGCGTGCAGGATTTACATGGAGAGACAGTTTTGGAATGACCAACCGTCTTCCTCCAGATACCAACCGCACCTATACCGAACTCCTGGATTGGGGAACAGATTACTATGATTTTATGGTGGGAGCTTACGACAAGACATTAACCCGACTTCAAATGGGTATCTCCTTTCAAGAAGGAATCTATGACAGTTCCTATATTCTGATTGGAGCTGCAGAGCCAACCAGTGACTCCTCCATCAATTTGTGGCAGTGGCTGGAGCCATTCCAGACAGAAGTATGGATCTGCATTGTGGTCACAATTTTGGCATCAGGTGTCTTGTACCAGATTCTAGATGTTCCAACACCCAAGCAAACCAAACGAAATCACAAACGAAAACCTACATTTAATGAGGTCCGGAAACAGCAACGGAACAATCAATCTAACCAAGACAATGATCGTAGAGGGAGGAGAAGCTCATTTAGCACAGTTGCTGATGCCGCGGATGCCGTGTACGAAGGAGCTCATACTATTGGGGATGGGATATTTCTCTCCAGCCTTCTCTTCACACAACACTTTCAATTTGTACCCCGCACAGCCCCTGCCCGTTTATTTAGTGCATCCATGGGGTTGTGGGCGCTCCTCATATCATCCAACTATACTGCCAACCTTGCAAGCTTTTTTGTAATTGAGAACACTCCAACCATTGCCATCCAGTCAGTTGAGGATGCTATCCAAAGTGGCATGCCCATCTGTATTTGGGGGAACACTGCCAGTGCCGAGTTCATGACAGCCCAGTATCCACAAGGAATATTTGTGGAGGTAGCTGATGACAATAAAGAAATGTTCAGTGCCATTCGGAATGGCGCTTGTGCTGTTGGAGTGACATCTCGAGCAACTTTTGATTTGTACCAAGATCAAACCAGTGCCAATCCAGATTGTGATATGATCTGGGTTGGCCGAGTGATTAAGCATGTCCCTGCCGGATTTGGTGTGAAGGCGGACTCGGGCAAACTGTGTTCCAGTCTCATCAATGATGTGCTGAATTTGCACCTTGTGGAAATGGAGATTGATGGATTCCTAGATGGCGCCTGGAAGGATCACATGGCCAAGAGTCATGACCAAAACTGTGCTGCCATGATGTCTTCTCAGACAGAAGAGGCTAGTGCAAGTCGATCCTTGAAGGAAATGGCTGGGACGTTTTTGATTCATCTGGTATTTGCTGTTGCTGCCATTCTACTAATGATTATTACCCGTCTCTATGACAAGTACAAACGAATGTCAGACAAATCCCGGCAAGACCTTCGACTCAGTGTGATGGGCAGTATGGCAGGCAGAGGAGGAGTAAGACGACAAGAGGTGGTGCGAGGGAACCAGGTTCCACAGCCACCAGAAAGCAATCTGTTTGACATGGACTATGAGGAGGATCAAAGTACCAGTATACCCCATCCTCGTTTCTTTGCTGTACCACAGGAAGCCGCCACAGGCATTGATCAGACAGCCCACTTGGAAGATCGACTGGCAGGAATGGAAGCACGTCTCAAGAGTATGGAAAACGCCAATCGTCAAAATCAACTCGCTATGGAACGCAAACTGGACACACTTGTTGAGCTGCTTCAGAAGCAGCACCGGGGCATGCCATCAACTTGGGATTTGTGAGCACGATGTCAAATTTTGGAACTGCAGACTGGGACAGAGGAACAAGAGCTTCCTTGCCTCCAGTGGTAGCTATGAGGGGTAATTGTTCACGTTTCATGAAAGCTCTTTTACACACTTTTCCTATGCTATCCGTTACGACTTGGTCTTTTGGTGGGCCGGTTCTTCATTCTTGAGCAGTCGTTCGGTCCACTGTTTGCTCCCTCTCTCCACCCTCGATCTGCTCGGTGGCGACCACACACCTTGGACCAGGACCTGTCGAGTGGCCACCACACACCTTGGACCAGGACCTGTCGAGTGCGTTCTGCCCTATCTTCTCCCCGCCACTCTTTGTATGGCTCAAACAAGGCCTGCGTCCACCCACAGCTTCGTCAACGAAGGAATGTTCAAAGGCTTGGGCAGAACATGGTGTGCTCCGCACTTTTTGAAGGTAGCCACATCCTCAGGCAAGACGTTACCCGTGATACCTACAATACATGTATGAGAGCTGAAACCTTCTGTCTGACACATTTTTTGAGCCGCTGTTGGCCCGTTCATGTTTGGCATTTCGTAGTCGAGGAGGATAGAATCGAATAGTTCCCCTCGCGCTACTGCCTTCTCCACTTCCTCCACCGCTTGCACACCATCCTCCGCCTGTTCACATCGATGCCCTTGCTTTTGAAGAAGCCGCACCAATAGCTTTCGGTTGGTCATGGCATCATCGACTACCAGGACATATAGCTTTCGATTTGGCTGCTTCTGTTGATTGCTTTCGCATTCTCTTAATTTGGCATTGTTCACTGCTGAAGCGTTCGGTTCAGGTTCCAGGATGCGTTGGCATCCATGAGAATCGGTCACATGCAGGGGTATTGAAACAGCGAATGATGTCCCATGGCCTAGTCCAGCGGAGGCAGCCGACAGATCCCCACCATGGCGTTTCATGATGCCTTGCGCGATGAAAAGACCCAAGCCGCTACCTTGCCCCCCTTGAAGTCTGTTGCTGTTGTATTGGACACCCGCACGAAAGAGCTTTCTCACTTGCTCTTCTGACAATCCCACTCCCGTGTCTGATACTTTGACTTCGAGGCGTCCCTTCCGAGTGAACGCAACTTTCTCTTCACAGCACGACAGAAAGAGCGTGTCCTTGACGTTTTCGTTTGCCTCGTCTTTCATCAGCGAAGGTCTCACGGTCACTGTTCCGCCTTTGTTTGTGAACTACAGCAAAGCACCGATGCATAAGACTCACGTGAGCCACGCACCCGACTGACACCCACGACGACGACGACGACGACGACGACAAGAGGCAACTGTCGAAGGAGAACACGTACCTTCAAAGCATTTGACAGCAAATTCCGAAATACTTGCGTCAGCTTCATGCTGTCGCCTACGACGCTGCCCGCAGCATCCTTTTCTGCGACACCGGAAAGGTCGAGAATGAGATCGACATTCTTGGCCTTGTAGGGTAGTTGGAATTCGCGAACAACGTGGTCTATCAGACTCCAAATGTCCAGAACAGACTTCTCCAGCTGCAGCTGACCCGTCTCTATCTTGTCATAATTCTGTTGGTGACAAGAATTGTATAATGTTAGATTGCACTAGCCCACTATACTACGGCATCCTCGGACGAACGTACCAGAAGGTCGTTCAAGACATCAATGGCATTTCCAGCGCTTCCCAAAATCTGTTTGGAGAGCATGAGGACATCTCTGGCTTTTTCCTTGTCCGTGTGGACAGTGATGCTACTGTTGTTTGACCCAGAATCCATTTGGTGGCTCTGACTCAGGAGGTTGTCAATCAAGTCCTCGTCCAACAGAGGCGGCATATCCGTAGACAGACTGCCTCCAGCGTTTCCACGGAACAAGGTTGCAAGCTCCTCTTGTAGCAGTTTCAGCCCCATGCACACCGAGTTCTGAAATCGCGAGACGGAATTGGTTAGATTGAATTCATGCGATTGGGTGGCACTTGTCGCAACAGGTGTACCGGTACTTACCAGGGGCGTTCGGACCTCGTGGCTCACAAATCTCATGAAACGCCGTCTTCCTTCGATAATGGCTTGATTCTTTTGATTCTCTTTGCTAATGAGAGCATCATAGAGAAAGAATAGGAACGACGTGAACACAATGACAACGACCACTCCCGCCGTGGCAAACGTAGGATTGTTGGTGCTGTAGACTTCAAAGAATTGCGAGTTGGGGTAGATCTTCATAAAGTAGACGGGCGAGTGCTCGCTGAGCTGATGATGTCCCACGACATCCGTCAGGATGGTGTCGCGACCAAAGGAATCGTACTTGGGGTTGTGCATGTCGGCGCTTCCTCTTTATTGTTTTCGGAGAGCGAGGAGAATATAGAGAATCGAGTGAGTGCACAAAGCACGTGCATGACAAACTGATCCGGAAGCAGTGATACGATACGTACTGATAGTGAGCAACGCCACGCACAATCTGATATGTATAGGCGACACCAGGACTGGCATCGGTCGATAAGACCACGTCAATGCCCGATGCCTCCGAGTTGAAGGCTTCTTTCAAGACGTCGCCCCAGAGCATGGAGCTTCCAATAAAAGCCGCAATGTCGGACACGTCATTGGCCGGGAACACGGGCAGCATAATGACGGCGCCGGGTTCCGCCTGGCCCACGGGAGGCGTAATGTCGGTCAATGTCCCACAATGGGCGTATCCAAAGGATGTTGTATTGTTGGGCCGAATGGTCGGCCGTTCCTTGGCGCAGGCAAAGGAGCTATCCATGGCGACTCCTCGCGCTTCAATGGAGTGATAGTTGAGCATGTACAGGACTGGTTTGGAGGGATCGGGTCCCAGTGCTTGGATGATGGGAATGGGGACTTGATAGAGAGACGGGTACGTGGTTTCCCCGGTCGTGTCGTGGTATCTGCCATCCGTGGTGTTGTGGCTCTTGTCAAAGGCAAAGATTCCGCGACCAAAGCTGGAGATTCCCGACCCTTCCGGAAAGACACCTTGCTCATAGACCCAGTCTTCAAACTCGGCCACTTGCTCTGGCTGGACAATGGGAGCAAAGGCAACTCCCCTACCGCGGGAAGTAGCAACCAAGTTGCGACCGACCTGTTCAAATCCCTGAAGGTAGCAAAAGGGCCAATCTTGCGCATTGGGGCACAAGTTGGAATAGATGGACGTGAGCGTAATGGCACCCAGCATTTTGCGGAGTGTCAGATCCTTGGCACTAATGACGGCCCGTTCCGCAATGGCATCAAAGTGGCTTTGGGCCAGTGTCACCTCGGCACTGTTCTGCAGCGAGTAGGCGCCCAAGCCCAAGAGAGCCGCCACCAAACACAGAAACGAGACAAACAGAACCCGGCCGACCCAGATCGCCGAGGGTCGACTCTGAGAGTGGAACGACTGGCATTGACAGCCGGGGTTTTGCAAGAGCTGTCTTGCTTTTCGAAACCTTCGCGGGACGACAGGGACGGCCTTGCCTTCTTCCACTTTCGAGAGGATGTCCGAATGATCATGGGGGGATGAGGAGGTGGGAATCTCGGCGGCAGGCATCGACTCGTCGAGGGTGAACGTAACGGAAGGCTGATGAACCACCGTATCATTGGACGTACTCGAGCTATCGACTGTCATAGCTTTGGGTCCTTCTGATGACATGTTGGTAGTACTAGTACTGTTGTGGTTTTTGAGTTGAACTGGCAAAGGGAAATTAACTGATGGACGTAATCACTCGATAGTGCACTGGTTGGTTGTAAGCGCTACTGGTAATTGCTGGGCTTTTTGTGTTGGTTTGGATAAAGCACATTTGATTTTTGTGCTCCTCCTGGTTGCAAACCTCTGAAAGATCTCCAACCAACCACCACCTTCCACACCCAACAGAACCTACAAGTTCCATACCGGTATGCTACCGGCAACACAAAAGCGAAGGGGAGCCGTCACAGCTCTCACCTCTCACAGCTACCACCCTTCTCCCACTTCTCCTCATCTTTCATCTTTCATCTGTCGGGTGCCAAGAACAAGCGTGGGCTTCTTATTCGGACCTTGCCCCATGATTGTTCGGCACCAAGACAATAATAAGTCACTTTTTGTGGACGAGAATAATATGTTCCTGAGTACATGGCATGAACTTCGGTTTGGCAAGGATTGTTCTCTCGAACCTTCCATGTTCAGCCATGTTCTCCTCTTTAGATTGGGGAAACATGTTGTTTAATAACTCAGTGTTCGCTTTCCCAAACAATGTCTCTTGCGCAGATAGCTAGCTCAGCTTAGCTCTAAACCGGATACTTAAGTTTTCGCTTTTCCGAAAAGAAGCCGAACAATGTCTCTTGCTCTTTGACGCTTATTCATTATGCACACGTGTATTTTGCCAGATGAGATCAGGTTCTCTTTAAAAAGCTTGGAGAGCTGTAATGTATGGATTTGGTTCTGCCGTTTTCCTCTCTCTCTTTCATCTTTGGGAGGCCACGGTGTCGCTGGTTGCATTCGGCGATCTCGCACGACTGAAAAAGTGTGGTCTCACTCCTGCACCCACATGAACGATCTGTTCCCACCATGTTGGTTTGCAATGCGGAACTCGGCGGTTTTGGTCCAAAACCAGCATTGCGGATGATGATCCCGACCGACCGAGAGAGAGAGACACACACACAAAATTCATTCATTAGATCTCATAGCTAACGATCCTCCAACAAAAGCACAACGCCTTCACGATCACCATGCTTGCGACAACAACTCTTCATCGACTTTGCTTTTTGGGCTTGGCCCTGCTTTTGTCTGCTGGCCAAGGCAGTGCACGGTGCGACCAAGGCCTCACCATCATTAACAATTCTCCAGACTCGTTGGACTTTGGACAGTGGGAATATCGTGAACTCAGTACACGAGGTAGGGCATGGCCCGGATGCTGGGGCTGGGATATTTTGGGTCCCGGTGGTTGGTTTCCCTCCACATGGTATGAGCTCATGGACGGCGATGACCAAGGTGACAACAGCATTGTCTATGAAATTGATCGGTCTGCGAGAGCAAGCTACTGTGCCGCCGAGCCCGATGAAATCAATTTGTTGGAAGTGTCATATGGAGGCCTCTCCGGATACATTCGAGTGGTGCCGACTCCCGATGCCAGCGGGACAACAGCAAGTATCAAATGCGCCCCCAAAGCTCTGGGTACTATTGAGACACCCATTGCCGGTGATCTGGTCTGTGAATTGGTGGAGTTGCCTTTTACTGGGCGAGAAGCCATTGAAGTGACAGTGGAACTTGATTTGAGTTCATAGGGCAGGCAGCCAAGAATGAACAATAGGAAATACAATTAGTGTACTAGTAAATCTGGCTGGTCGCCAACCCAATGCCCTCATCGTACTCGTAGACACCTTCCGATCGAATCGGCTCACTTTTCTCCCCGTCAACTATCTTCTTGGTTTTGTCATGTTCGCCCCCCGGGCAAGCTGCATATCTCCCACTTTTCGTCATCAGTTGGAGATGGATGCCAGCGATACTAGCTAGCAATAAACACGTACCAGCGCCAGTGCTCGATAACAGTCTATAGTGGATAGTTACCTACAATGTACGAGCTAGCCAGGCACGCAAAAGATTCCAAAGATCTGTGTTCCTCTTCTTGCGATTCGATTCTGCCGATCCTGTCGTTCCCATTTCTGCCGCATCTGGCCGCCCGAGTCTACTTGTATTGCAGTGGTACATCTTTCCTTTACGATGAAAGCCAAGGAACGAAAAAATGCATTCCGGGCGACGTCGGTCGAGCAAGCACATTTGCCATAGGCCCCGGTTCCTTGGCTTCGGGCACTCAAGGCGGGCTGAAGCTATACCAGCACCTCAGCCAAGGTCCAAAGATCTGGCTGGAAGAACCCGTAAGTTTTCTATTACGTTGCCGCAAGATTGCGTGGTCTCGGCAGTCGACGGATGGGCACGCGATTGTCGGTTGGTAGATCTACTTCAGCCACATGTATCGGTCAGAAGAAATTCTCTACTCTGTCGTCCATTTTGTCGTGGGATGTATAGACGGAGCTGTCGACTGGATGAAGTTCAAATGCATCAAAAGCTCCGAGAGCAAACTCGCCCCCCGGGTCTAGCAGCCACACGGCGAGCATCCTCAATGTGGGAGTTCTCACACGGAAACCATGCACAGGATGATCTACATACTACCCCCCCCCCCTGCACAGAGCGGATCACTCAATATCAGTTCAGTTGCATGCAGAAAACCCACTGCCGGCAGCGCACCATAGGTAAGATGTCTGCCAGTGTAACAACTGAAATGCACGAAGACTATGTAATACACTTCAACAACAGTTGATCAAAGCCTGAGAATATTAATTGCCTTGACCAAGACATGGGTTTGGTGGAAGGAGTTGCCAGAGAGCCACGCTTGTCATACCGGTAGCACATGTTGAATCCGTTGAGACCTTGTGCTCATTTTGGACAGATCCAATTCCTACAGTCAGATGCTATGCATGACTGCACAAGCAACCACAGCCACAAAGCAAGCTGGAACAGTCAAAAGCCAGTCCAGCAGCATCTCCACATTCATTCACAGAAGTGCTTGTACAGGTGGCATTGATGGTACATAGCTCCACAGGAACAGTCCCAGACAAGCCTGGATTACCTACCAGCTTCAACATGTACAAAGAGCCCTGAAGTGGCGATAGTTCTTGAGGGACAGTGCCAGATATGGAGTTATTGGCAAATATCAACTGGACCATGTTGGTGAGCTGACCAAGCTCACTAGGGATCTGGCCAGAGAATTGGTTGTTGGAAAACTCCAACTCTTGTAGCCTTGTCAAGAAGCCAAGTTGGGTGGGAATGACTCCGGAAAACAGATTGTCTCTCAAGTCCAGGGAATCCTCCAAGCTTGCGAGAAGGCCAAGCTCACTTGGGACTTGACCAGAAAACTGGTTCTTGTCCAGTCGAGCCAAAAACATTGATGAGAGAAGGCCAAACTCTGTAGGTAGAGCGCCTTCAAACCAGTTGTCCCATGCAGAAATCAACATCAACTTTGAAAGCTGCCCTATCTCACTTGGAAGGTTCCCAGTCATGCTATTCTCAGCAATTACAAGCCACTCCAGTGATTTGATTTGCCCTATTTCAGTTGGAATTGTTCCTGGTGACAATAGAGAAGATGATATTGAGACAGGTACCTTGACCAAACTTCAATGGGTCTGACACAGCTACATCTGGATTCTTAAAGCACCTACCTGAAAAGCCACTCTGATCCAGGATGAGCCATCTTAACTTTGAGAAAGCAGATATCTCAGTGGGGATTGTCCCCCCCAGTTCGGGGTTCCCAAACAGAACCACATCAACCAAGTTGGTAAGCTTCCAGAGCTCACTGGGAATAGTTCCCTGAAGCTGATTTCGACCCAAGAAGAGTACATTCAAGTTTGTCAGCAAACCTACTTCAGTTGGAATGACACCTTTGGGAGGCAGCTGACCAAGAGCTAGTCCTTCCAATCGTGTCAGTTTCCCAATCATACTAGAAATGGTCCCATCTATTTGATTCCTCCCCATTGACAGTGTCTTCAATGTTGTTAACATGAAAAACTCAGTTGGCACAAAGCCCATGAGGTTGTTCTGGTCAAGCCAAAGGTGTTGGTAGAGGCCATCCTCATCACATGGAGTGGAGGGAGGAGGTTCCAAGAAACCATCAAGGTACCCTGGAAGGTAAAAAGAAGTGACGTGTTTCCTTGAAAAACTTGGCATGTTGATCCAGCTGCATTCATGAATGCTATGATTGAGCCAGTTTGTGTTATCTTCCCAACCATTGCCATCAGTGGCAAAGTACAAACTGGCCAGAGCAAACTTCTGCATGATCCTTTCATCAGAATAAGTGGGGAGATGATCAGAGTCTTCCAACAGCCACTGATAGGCTCTGAACTGAGGTGAATCAGCATCTCCTAGAGCCAGTGTGGCATTTCCTTTGAACAGCACAGGCTTGATTTTCTTCTCCAATGGATTGACTGGAGACTCTGAAGGATAGTTAGTCTGAAGTTCTGTCCCCAATTCAGGTGTGTGAGGAGTTGCACCCTTGTCAACAACAAGGAAAACTGCTGCCAATATGATGATAATCATTGCCAAAGCCATGACCCCCAAAATGATTCTGATTTTTGCTTGCTTGGTCTTTTCCTGCCTCGTTGTATCCTGGTTTTGGACATTGTAGTTTTCTGCATGAGGCAAGTCTTCTTCAACCATGTCTGCTACTGCCAACCCACCATGGTTGTCGGTGTCACTAGGAGTTGCATCAGTTTCCTCCGTCGGGCTGGAATTCCCGACAGTGCCGGTGCATGTTTCTGCAGGCGACAGGCCAAGTTCCTCATCGTTGTCACTTTCGAGTGGGCCAAGTGAAAATTCGGATGAGGAATCAAATAGTGATAAGTTGAGAGACTCGGCTCTCTGGAGTCCCCTCATTCCAGGCGCTGCAAAATAGGCACCAGGCTCCTGTGGCTGGGTAGATACTTGCTGAGCGTTGCTGGTTGATTCTGGCTGCGTTGGGATGCCTTGTGGTTCAGTGCCGGGGCTGTCAGCGGAATGCTCCCTCATCCGCTCTTGCAGTACCTTCATGATGAACTCGTCCTCCGTAGCGCCTTCTGTTTCTTCTGCATTCCCTTCTTCTGCTTCCCCTCCATCAATCTCGGATGTGTCATTTCCGCTGCTTGGAAATAATGGATGATGATGTCCCAAAAACCCTGAATCGTTTTCCGAACTTTGCCTACTACATGTAGTGCCAAATCGTTCCTCTCCCTCGGATACTGAAGATCCTAGAATTCCCAGTTCTGCCAAGACGTGTAGGCGGTGCGAGCCTACTTCGACGGCGTTGATACTGCTGTCGTGTTGCTCATGCTCTTCCTTGTCCTCTTCGGTGCCTTTGACAATATCCTTTAGAGAGGATGTCATTCTGTATCCTTCATAAAAGGACAAAGGGGATAAAACAAAGAACTGTGTGCTCTGTTGATGCTTGGATGGCTAGCTAGCCAGCAGTGATAGATCGGTTTAATGGTGCTGTTGGTATTCTGTGGTTTGCAACAGTGTCAAAGGTCTGAGCTCGGGCGAGCAGGCATACCGGTACACAACAACCATTCTGGAGCCACGAATTCAAGAATTCAATGCACCCACTGGCTAAATGTAACATGTACGTGTACTGGGATGACTGACCATCTACAGTGGCCATTTCGTTAAATCCTTTTACATATTCTGCACTTCTCTCCCTGCCGAAAGAAGCTCCTCTAGAGTACATGTATGCAGGGATCGCTAACCAATTGGTTAGGTACTGGTTACTGGTTACTGGTTGAGTAACCAAAAGTTCTAGGGTACTGGTTACCGGTTACTGGTTGGGTAACCAAAAGTTCTAGGGTACTGGTTACCGGTTACTGGTTGGGTAACCAAAACTTTTGGTTATTTTATAGGTAAGTAACCAGTAACCACTGGTTAGTAACCAATTGCAAGTGGTTACCTTGAGGGTCTGAACATGCAGCGCAAGACTTTTGTGTTGTTTGCTTCCGCCCCATGTCAATCCATCGCTGTTTCCTAGACATACCTTAGGATTTTGCAGCATTGGCAGCACGAATCTGCTCCTCTTCCTCTTTGGAGTAGTACTCCAGCTCCTCCAGCATCTCCATTGTGATATCCTCTTCTGTCAGATCTGGTTCTCCTTCTTTGCGTGGCTTGTTGAGGGATTTCACCTGTTCTCTGAAGAGTCTCTTCGTCCTGTTCTTGGCTTCCAGCAACCTTGCAACCGCCACGAGGTGCCTGTGGTTGCGCAGGAAGTGACGATTCTTGTACGTGAGAACCTTCATTTGAAATGTGAAGTCGCCCTTTTATGATGTTTGATGGCGGCATGAACTTCCTTGTGAAGCTTGAAGACGTGACTCGATAGGTTCCCCGTTCCATCATAAACCATTTTCAAAGTCTTCTCCTTCTTCAAGTAGGACGGCATGAACAGACACTTGCGGAGAGGCTTCCCTTCGTCATCAATGCATGTCAGTAAGAAGCGTCATTCTAGGCTACATCAATTAGAGATGCTCGATTCTCCTTTTCCCTGTAGGGTGGCTTTGAGGATGATAGGAAGTGGTGCCGTCATAGTGCGTTTGGGTGGAAAGTAGCGTCAACTCATCCCACTTGTCGTTCTTTAGAGCTCATGTCTGTAGTCTTGTCTCTCGTGGAACCCACATATACTCTGGAACAAAATATAATAAGAAGAACGGCTAGTTCTGAACACAATAGTTTAGTAAGTGTCTGAAGTAAGTTAACGCTAACAATCGTTCGATATTGAACCGCGATCAACAAAATATACATTTGCGATTATTCTGCGTATTGCATGTAAGTGTTGGCGAGAGCACGGTAGTATTTTTTTTCGTCTCAGAAAGACCCTTTTGTTGCTCTGGCTAGTTAGAAGTAGATGCGGAGGTTCCACCGTGCATTCACCCATGTCTGCCTAAGTTAATTGTGTATTACATCCCACCGTGCAAGCTATGTAGATTGTGGCTTAGAACACAATTTTCCTTTGGCAGAACGGACTTCGGTCAACCATCATCATCAACATGAACTCTGTCGAAACGGCCTTTGGATCTTCACTCCATTCATATTGCTTTGGCACATATGTTTAACTCTGTTTTTCGTAGCTGTGTCTTCCTCGGCCGGAATGGGGATATCGACGGTTGATGATTCTTCGTTTCGAATCTTTCCCGCAATTTGCATGTTCCAGGCACAATTGCATTTGATGCATACAGCAAACACCTTGTTTATGTATAATAGGATTGTGTCTCACAGAGTAGGTGGCGGCCAACAGCGCGAGCCGCTGCATTATAGTGTCTATTCACGGCCTGGTAGAAATGGCACTGGAGATCTCCCAAACTCCAATTCCCACTTAATCTTTGATAGGTCTGGAGTGACTGTGTTGCTCTGCCTTTTTTGCTGTCCTAACACAAAGAGCATCTGCGATCTTGATGTAGTACTTGCTTTCCGACTCTGGTGTTGTAGGAAAAATAATGTAGGTGGACCCGTCAAGATCTCTCTTATCTTATCGTGAATTCCCACTCGTCTGGTGTGCGCTAACCGTCATAAAGGGAAGCGTTTGACAGAGAACAGTTACGAAGATAGGCTTTTCGGAATGTTTCTAATGGTAGACAGCCATTTCCACGCCGGGCCAGACAGAAAAACTCGAACCATGTTTCTTGCTGTGCGCTTTGGTACGAAAGCAGGGCATGACGTCCTATAAGACCACAAGTTTCTTGACTTCTTGAGAGTTTCTCGTGCATGGTCCATAGCCAAACTGCCGACGATTTTCAAGTCTCGGGACAAGTTGGTGTGATCGTGGATACCGCGCTTGTTCAGAGATGTGTTGTTTAGGTCGTAGGAATTCAGTTCTGCAGTTTGCCTGAAAGTATCAGACCTTTCCAGCCCTGCACCCCTTGTACGGGCCATGTTGAGAACATATAGATTTTCCCCGGGTTGGCTCTTCAATGTCTTTGGTTCGGTGCGGTGTTATAAGTACTACCGGTACCCAGAAGAGTAGATACGGATTCATTGGAAGCAACGGCGGAAGCTGCGGGGCCATAGCTGCTCGGGTTGGTCTTCCGGCAGCGGCAGAACTCCTGTGTAGGACCGGCAGGCTGGGGTGCCATGTCTCCCATTTGTAGTGCTAATTCCTTTTTCACGTCGGCTCCATACTCGGGAAAACCATCTGCCAACCGGTCAACCAACTCTGCTGAGGAATCGTCAATGTCCATGTGCTGGTGGGGGGTCCTTTTCATGCCCACAGTGGAAACGGCAAGTTTCGAAATTCGAGTAACCGAATGGGTAACCAGTTCGATAACCGGTAACCGGTCAAAGTAACCGGTAACCGGTCCAAAAGTAACCAGTCGAAACGACCCGGTTACCGGTTACCGGTTGGGTAACCGGTTATCGCGAGGTCCCGGTTGCCGGTTACCGGTTACGTAACCAAATCGAACAACCGGTAACCAAATGTCAAATAACCGGTAACCGAAAGAACTGGTTAGCGAACCCTGGTCCAGTTACTTACTTGAACAACGTCGGAATGTCGGAATAGTTCTGATTTTTCATGGGTACAGAAAGTTTCCACGTTGCCCTGCTTTCAAGTTTTACCATAATGTTCCGAGCAAACCGAATGAAGCAAACGACCACCACACTCACAATCTCACAACTCTCACTTCGAAGCCTTTCGAACTCTCTACCCGCAACTATCACACCGCCTGGCCCTAAGCTTCTGAACTCTATTGAAAAGCCAGCAATTTGCATTCCAATCTCATTTTTTTCACCATGGGCGCCCAGAACTCGATCCTTCTCCCTCTTCAAGAGCTCTCATCAGTTGATGTTGCAGAGTATGTAAAGGATTTGGGTGAGAAGTTTTGGCCCTATGCAGATGCCATCAAAACAGGTGGAGTCAATGGAGCATTCCTGACTTCCTTAACCAAGGAGACCTTTGAAGAGACTTTGGACTCTCTTGAGGTCAACAACCGTCTTCACAGAAGGAAGCTTGAACGAGTTCTCACCAAGATATTGTCTGATCAAAAGGATCAGTACTCAAAGCTTGGTTGCTTTACCACAGACACTGAATGTTCTCTTTTCTCTTTTGACTTGGATGACAGCAGCTCGACACGCCTTTCTTCCCGGACTACTTCCAGAATGTCTGATACTCAAATTCGCCTCCAAGCTGACAACAGTACAACATCCAACAAACCCAGCGTGTCATCTGATTCTTCGCAGCGCCGATCCACCCATTCTCGAACGGGGGCATCGCAAGACCACTCCGGACATCTCCACTGACATGGCGATGCAGTCAACCTCCAGCACTTCCGCGGCTTCTTCTCAGCGCCGATCCACCAATTCCAGAAGGGGGCATCGCAAGACCACTTCAGATGTCTCCATTGAGATGGTGATGTAGTGTGCATTGGTTGCAAAGGAGATTGATGATCTTCAGTCAACTTCACCTCCAATGCTTGTCCCTGCTGTGCTCACCGCTGCCCTTACAGTACAAGCTGAAGAGAATCAAAACCTCCAGCAAAAAAATCCTGGAGGTTGAAACAGAGCGTGAGATTTCACAGTCCACCTGAAGGCATGGTAGCAATTGTGTTGACAGACATTGAAGGCAGCACCAGCTTGTGGGAATCAAATCCCCAAGCCATGAAGGAAGCACTATCCATGCATGACACCATCCAACGTGAAACAAGGGAGAAAGGTTATGAGATTGATACTGGTAGGTATTTTTTTACAGTGCACCATGCAGCTGCGTGATCCGTGTAACATTCTCTCCCCCATTGCCAAAGAGTGTGAGAAACCACTTGTCATGAATGAATGCATGGATGCTTCCTATGTGGCAAATTGTCAGAAGCGTCTGGTAGAGATTACACCTGCTTCCATGCGTCCCTTGACTGTAGCAACCATCAAGAATACATCGAAGCTCCGGCGCAGAAATTCGCTGTCGAGACGTCATCTTCAGATAATGCTCGACACGGCCAAGGAAAGATCTTCCGCGGATGTTTCCGGTGGTGTGATCCAGAAAAGTTCCATTCCAAGCCTCCAGAATGGTCAGTCAGAACTCCGTGCTTACTAAACCTGTCCAATCAGATAGACAACGAAGACAGAGTATCAGTCATGGCGCAGTTGGTTGGTTTGGATATCCCACTCACCGCTGAGAAAAAGCCCCACTACACGAAAGATTTGAACACTCATATCCACATACTCGTGCATCTATAATTAATAATCATAATCGTCATAATTCTATTGCTTACTTCTACATCATCTCGTCTTCTTCTGTTCAAAAAT